CCCCCCCTCCCGTAAGTAAAACATGTCTATGCACTCAAGTATATAACTGCAAGGCGCCTCCATGTCTGAAGGTTCATTACAAATCCCCCAAATTTGGTTTATATATATACAGTGTATCCCAAGAAACATGAAAATTAAAGCCGCCTTAATGATCGTCTTTATTAAAGATAAAGACGATCTCTGCCTTGGCTCTAAAACTCATATTTAATGTGTCACCTTGTCAGTTAACTTTTTAGATGAATAGATTTGGTCCAATTCATTAACTTGTTTACAGTTCTGGTTTTTAAAAACCAAAAGTACAGAGTCATCTTATACAGATTTTTATATTTTTCAAACTTTTTTCTAGGTTTTTTTTCATAAAGCATTCTGTGTCCGAATTTAATGAATTTGAGCCCCGGCTTAAATCTGCTAAAAACCGGTTTCAATTGAGCACCGGCTTAAATCTTGAAAAATTGAATACTTTTTTAAGTGGAACCAACCATATTTCAGCCGCGGCTCAAATTCTTTAAATTCGGCCTCTGGTTGTGTGTGGACCGAATTAAATCGAATGAAATCCAAACAATTATGGTTTTAAAATTATCTTTTAAATGTGACTCAGGAGGTCGTTTTTATCAGATGATTTTAAATTAAAAATTGCCTAGGTTTTTAGAGTACTTCGTGTTCCCTTTTCTATTAACAATTTTTGTTTTTTTACTATTGCACTCAAATATTTTTCTGTTTAAAGTGCATTTTCAAAAATCATAAATTTCGACATTGTTTTCCGGACCAGCAGACAAGCAAAGAAGAATATGTATACCAAGCTTTCCTGCATAAATAATTTTAGCTTTTAACTGTTGCTCTGAAAGTCGGATTTTTTGATTATTTTTAAATTTTAGCAGATTTTTCTATTTGATTTGGCGCAATTTAAACAAATATTTGGGCTCAATCAGTTCAACCGTTTGGACGTTTATTGGATTAATAATAAAAAGACAGACAAAGTATATTTTGGTTTTTTTAAAGTTGCTCTTTCTGGAAGCTTTAGCTTTACAATAGTATTTGGCAAAATAGGCTTTCGTGTCAAAATGTTAATGATTTAGTTCAGTCCATTTACAAATTTGTTATAATTTCTTTGCACATTTGTGAGATTTCGCCCTGCGCGAACACGTTTTTCGGAACAAGTGCAAACGATGCGCGCGCAATTACGAGATAAATATTTTTGCCAAAGGTGTGTGGTGCAAATTATGGTTATCGTTGATGTTTTTTTACGCAACATTAAAAACTATACAAAACTCTAAAAACAAAAAAGACGTAACTAGTTCTGTGTGATGTGTAAATTTGACTGATAAAGATATTCGTTAAAACCAAGGTCAATCCTTTGACAGAGCTTAGGGTCAGGTCGGGGTCAGTTTAGGGTGGGGTTAGGGTCGGGTGTAAGGGTTGGGGATGTGAAGTGAAGGAAGGTGTCGAATACATGTTTCCGGTCTGAAGTACTTGACCCTTGCTCACATCTTCAGCTCGTAAGCNTCCCACAATTTTCTGGCAACCTGAAGGTGTAATCCCTATATCTTGACAACCCAAAGGTGTAATCCCTATATCTTGACAACCCAAAGGTGTAATCCCTATATCTTGACAACCCGAAGGTCTAATCCCTATATCTTGGCAACCCGAAGGTGTAATCCCTATATCTTGACAACTCGAAGGTGTAGTCTCTATATCTTGACAACCCGAAGGTGTAATCCCTATATCTCTGTACCCTTATCTTTGCAATCTGTTGGTGTAAACAATGGTTAAGCCTGCTCTGAACCAAACATTCTTATCTTTATCATATATTTTAAAAAAATTGAGAAGCATTCCAAAACAAAAAAAAAAAATTTCAAAACTTTTCTGAGTAAAACTTGCACAACACATTTAAAAAAAGATTTTAAACCGTTCAGTTGGGGTAACAACTCTTTTCAATATTTAAAAAATAATCATTTTGAATCTGAATTTAGCACACAAAAAAACGGGATGACAGTACTCAGTAGCCAGAAAATTGAAGGTTAAATAATATCCGACAGTATATATGATACAATTGAAAACAGATGGAAAAAAAGATTGAAAACAGATTGAAAATAATTTTAAAAACAGATTGAAACAATTGAAAAACAGACTGAAAACAGAGTTACCGAATGGTAAAAAGAACCCCAATCTATGATAAGCATGATTTTTGGAAAAACACAAACATATCATCACATATATCATTAATTGAAACTAGGAATTTCTATAGAAATAGTTGGCTATTTTGTAAATAAAACAATGCGTACAACGACGCAAAAAAAAATAGAAAAAATCTACATTTGTGTACGTGTACAAATTTGAAATCAAGGAAGTTCCGGGAATTATTGAGTCCGTGCAATGATAATTTTAAAATTTCGGAATTAAATAAAAAATGTTGCTTATTAAAAACTAGGCTGAGTTTATTCCGATGCGAGGAGGACATACTTAGCTCAAGTTAGTTGCCCGTGAGCTGCTAAAATATACTACACTACTACTTTTACTAATAATAATAATAGGAAAAAATTATTTTAA